GTAAAATCGGAGTGTTTGTCCCAAGGACGTGTGTGTGTAAAGATGTCTACTATTGGATTTGTCAGTCCCCCGAGGTTCGATGTATCCTTGATAGCTACAGCAAATGTTGTTGAGTTCTTACTCGGTATATAATATACGCGTTTTTCTCAATATTAAATTGAAATTAACCCGTATACCTCAATTTTTGAAATTCCTGAAATTAAGGGGTCTTACACCCTTCCCCTTGTATTTCAACAGCTGATTAGACGAATTTTGAATGTCACTTATATGATCCCTGATATCTAGAAGAACGAAACAACTGTATGGTTGAGCGTAATTAATTTTTGACTTACTACATATATAACCAGAGCCGTGGGATAGACAAAAAATCTTGGGTTTGGGATTTATCTGTCACACCTTAAAGGAAGGGGAAGTTGTAAACGAATATTTCAAGTCGACCATTGATCTATTCTGTCCTCTTTTAGTAAAAATCTCCATCATAACATTTGACTTAACATTTTTGATATCTACATTATAAAGATTTTTTAAAAAGTAAAATTTTAAAGAACCCCAGGAGTATGTACACGTAACCCTTTTGATTCGCTTGCGAGAATTGTTTGCTTCAATTATCAAGAACAGAACAAACGCAGGTATGTTAATACGGAAAACCAAGGTGGTTTTTGACAAACAAATTGAACTAAAGAACCTTTTTTCATCAAACAAAAATAATGATGTGCTGTTTAAAACATTTTTAGTGCTTTCCTTCATTGTCAATCACTTTTGATATAGTTTAAAGAATTGGGACTATGGAATCAGTTCTGCGCTAATATGAGATATGCTAAATGTCCAGATCACACTTAAAGATCTGCATGATAATTTGCAGTTTGTGGATGCAGACAAAGCAACTGGTAACGTACTCCTTGATTGCAAACAACAGTACCCTTTCTCTGCTTGTAATTAAAACAAAACAAAAAAACAAAACAAAACTTGGCATCTTTTACATTAAGAAAGATGAAAAACAAAATAATAAAGCTTCTATATTTATCGCAATATGATATATCCGATCTGGACATCTATCAACGAACAATGTTGTTTCCAATTGCTAGGATTGTGCAGTGTCAAAATAAAGATTACATTTAAACTGTACATCCAGGCTGACAGCGCCCAATAGGAGGTATGGAGATATAAAGAAAAATGATAAGAGACATTCGATGACATTTATTATTTAAAACATATGTCACAAGATGCCTTAACTCTTGTAATTCTGCTTATTCGAAATCAGACTATTTCAAACGTTTTATGATATTAAATACAAATCTAAAACTCCATAACAAAGATATAACATGTCTGCCTTAAATATAAAAAAAAAACCTGGCTAAACTATCTAATTACAGCTTGTAAAATGAGGGTAGGCAATACAACTACCCCGTTTATGAAAAGACTTAGCGAGGTGAGTGATCGCAGGAGTAGGGTATACAATGGTTGAGATTGCGAGAAGACGTCGGAGGGGACAGACAGATGAAAACGGTGTCAGGTTCGGGTATTATGTTTACCTATATCATAGGATGGTCTACGTTTATATAACATGCCGCAGTAGGGTTTGTACGTGTATGTTAATTTCTTTAGAAACTTCAGGTGACATTAGATCTCTGATGTTCAAAACTCTAACAGCTTATGTGGTAGTTGTTTGGATTAAACCTAAATGTCTTTGAAGACAGGCTTCATCAATACTTTTTTCTCATATACTTGTAAATTTAACAACTTCAACCGGGTGAAGATGTATAACTGGACTCTGAGTGGACGTATGGAGTAGTGCCTCTAGGGATATTGCTCGTTATTTTTTCGTTTGAATTGCTTTCGATGATACATTGTTGTATATACATTCATTCATTTATTATTGACGGATATATAAGTATGTCTTTTAAATCAATAGATAAGGACAAATTCGAACGAAGCAATGGTTTTGTGGATATGTTCACAACAATGCGACAGCGCACTCTGATGTAAACGACTCAAACCTTCTTTGATTTTGAAAGGTTTATGCTAAATACCAAGTGCATGCCTATGTACCTAAAGTAAACAAGTGGAAAAATCAAATCGATTAGGGGTATTCATAACCCGACTTGTCAAATGTTTAAAGTTTTCAAGGCTAGTCTGAATGACTTAAGATAAAACCTGTCGTACAGTGTAGATGTGTATTACGTTATGCCTATGAACAGTCCTCGCTCATGGCATCATATCCACTTAGCATTTACCCTTGTGTGGCGCTTTAGTATGTTCTTGTGTACAAGTGGTTTTCGTTGTAAGTCTTTTCATATGAAAATGCAGTAGCGTTTTATGTTCGTAATTGTAAATATTTCCAATAAAGCTTGTCAAAAAAACCCGACCCAGATGTATTTAATAAATTTTTCGACATTAGCGAGAACCGATATCAGGTGTTTAACATTTATCAGTTTAACTAGCCATGTTTTGAAATACCCAGATTTTGATTGTTCGTGAAGCGATATTGAAAAAGGAGAAGGTCAACAAGCTTTGCGTAGGTGAAGTCTACCTCGTATTTCGTAAATTTAAGACTGTTTCGCCAAGTGTTATATGTATCGACCACAAAAAAACACCTACATAATTATGTGAATAACATTATCCTTTTTTAACCGTTAAATACAGCAAAACACTGGGCCGTTTTTAACATAAATGAATCATGTGAACCATTTAAAAGATGATGACTTAACAACACACACAAATTCAGTACAAATACTTACTATAGTGTTATAACGTCCACCGTTTATACACAAGAAAACGGCGGGAAATATAGCTAGAGGTCTCTGATTGCAATCTTATAGAGCTCTTCTCGTATTTAAACAGTGTCGGTGGTACACTATGGTCTTAACCTGGTTCTATTGGCTGAATGCCCATGTAAATATTGAAGAGAATACAAAAGATCGACTATGAGACTACCAGATCCATCGTGTCCAATGTTGGTTCAGCTTCACAGCAGTGTGTTTATGAATAGTTAACAGAATGCTTTTATGACACATTACAGGTTTTAAATTTTTAAAATCTATAAATAAACCATGACAAACCAAATCAGAAAGAAATCTTTGAAAATTTATACTAAATGGATTGAAGTTAACAAAAACTTAGTTCTAATGTTGATGTTTTATATGCGTGCGGTACAGTATGCATTTGGTTAAAATAGTATCGAGTTTAGTCACATTGATTTGTACCCAGTGCCCAAAAACAAATTGACATTGGTGTCCACTTGTTTCTAACAGGGATTAAAATGTCTGACAAAGCAATTTTATCTTATTGTATCTGTATAAACTTTTACCTTTAACTTTCTTACAATTCCTGTTACTTCTGTATCTGTTGATTTAATGTCTTTATTCCGTGAAGAGGTCATGCTCAGAACATCGCCGTCATATGGTAGAATCAAAGACATTTAAAGATAGGTGAGGCCCACAACTCTCTTTAACCTGAATTTACTAAAATCAATCTGACAAAATTTCTAGTCCCAAAACGTATTACGGAAAAAAAGCACCATTGTCTAGCCTATTTCACCACGCCATCCTCCCAGACCGCCGATTACGGCCTGGAGTTCTCGGATAGTGATGTAACCCACTGCTAATGTAATTACTGGTTGGTTACGAATTGAAGTACCGCAAGCTGGGAACACATGATACCGGATTTGATCACAAACAATCTGAAGCACAAGTGCCCTATATTATATATACACGGAAGTAAAAGATTTCTGATCTCGTTTCACACGGGCACACTTATATAATATAAAGTAAATAGTAGAATTGTAGGGGATAGATGTCAGAACCGGAATAATGATACGTACTAGTGCTATATAAAAGACAACGGCGAGGGTATAGTTGTCTTCCAGTTACAGTAAAACATGTATTCGACATGCCGTAATATCGACAATTCTGTTAAATCAGACCTCTGTGGCGTTAAACCCACGTTGAGTTGTGGGTGTAAATCAACAGGTATGCTCACATATTATATAATATATAAGACCTAGCTTTGGTGAATAGTGTGTACGCACGCTACTTTTGCCATTTAGTCGTGGTGTCTTATATCATCCTATTCTGACGGCCAGCTTCTTTTTTGACAAGCATTTAAACTAGCCCGATAAAGTGAAGGCATTTGACACAATAGTATGCATGTATAGTCATCAACTGACAAAACATTAAACTGTTCCTATGTGTCGTCCAAGGTTAACCGACGGTCTTTACAACTATACTACCGACAAAGCTTCTCGGTACATTGCATTTATATGTAGTCGGGGACACTCACTTGTTGCCTAACCTTACTAATGCATTGATTGTTAATCAGATCAATTTTTTTTCCACAAGGTTGTGCATGAACACATACATACATGTACATCAAGTCTAACCTCTATTTATATCAACCCTATGCAACGCGTCGTATTACGGAAACAGGTTTATAAAGATTTCCAATCAGGAAGCGATTCGCTTTATTTCAAAAATCACACCCTGTTATACGTGAGTACATGAGTTGTGTTTTGTTTAATCTGCGAAATTCTTTTTTGTTTTGTTTTTTGAAAATCAAATTGGTTGGGAACCACCTATATATGATGATGAATCCTTGTCCCACATATTGTTAGCTTAACAAACACATTTTGATTTTCGAAATCCCCCCTGAATGGATAAGACACATACTTCTTTCACTTTTAGTTATCGGAAGGGGGTTCTGTTTAATAGGTTACCCTATGTACTTTATAAAAATCAAATTAATTTTTTGGGAAAATGCATACCGAATGTGCTTGGTGTCTTTTCAAGCTAACCATGTGAATTATTTTGTAATGTTTACTGACACGATTTTTTTTTTTTTGATATAAAGATATTTCTGTTCAGTACCGTTTCTATCATTACATTTTTATCATATAACAATAAAGAGCAGATCACAGACAGGAAATAACATTTCATATGTTGATATTGATAATGCAATAAGAACACAATTTTCTTTAACTAGAAAATAATGAAAACATTACTTACAAGAAGATACTTAACATCGATGCTATCCCCACAGTCATCCAGGGTGACAGGATAAAGTCCATTATCATAGGTATCGGGATAAACGAGGCGTTGAGAAAGACTTGGCGAGCTACCTGTAACACTTCCCCACCGGTGTACTGTAAATTAACGAATCCGTCACACACACACACACACACACATATATATATACAAAAGGGTTACCCTAGAATATTCTTACGACCAATGAAAAGACACGGGTGAAAATAGCACTGATCCATGCAATCCTCCGGCATAAACTTCATTACCATAATATGTTTTTGTTTGTGCTTAATGTTTATATTTAATCACTTTAATCTTGCCTTTTATTCAGACAGGTATGGATTTACAGTGAATCCTTTCGCTATGTTGATTTGTAATTTTAATGTTTAATTAAGTATTTATATACTGTATATATCAGTCATTTTTGAATTTCAACTTTCTAGTAGTTCAACATGCCACGGTCATGTCCGAATCAGTTTTTGCAACACTTATTATTATTCAGCTGTTTAAGTTTACATAAACAAGAAAAAAAGTATAGTACAGAAGATTTTGCTCATATTACTTAACTTTAGTGCAGAAGATTGTACACATCTCGCCTAACTTTAACCGATCCACTGTCTGTACAGGTCAGCCATGCTACCATCAGTAGAGATTCTCCATACGTAGCAACAGCCGTCCACTTCAAAGGGAAACACTGCAGGACTCGTATTTAGGGTATTCCGTCTTTGCGTATTGCAGAGTTATCTTCTCTTGAGAACAGGTATTGATTGTTACGTCATTTGTTTGTGAGAGTAACGTCATCAATTTTTGAGAAAACGACTGAATTTTCTCACACAAACCAATGACGTAACAATCAATACCTGTTCTCAAGAGAAGATAACTCTGCAATACGCAAAGACGGAATAGGATCATGGAATTAATGTATGTGACGCAATGACCGAAGATTTACGTAACGACAATAATTAATTTATAGAGACATATGATGACGTCATCACTCTGAATCCATACTTTAATTTAACCCAAGTGTACACCACGATTTATATTTTTTGTGAATAGAAATGATGGTGGGCGGAAGCTCTGAACAGTATCAACGGGCAGTAGTCTACTCGTTAAGTGTTTTCGGTGCCACGATTTATGAGAGTGAAGTGCAGAATGTATATGTCAACCTTTCTACTGTTGACTGTTATGCAGACTACAGTCGATCATCACTAACGTTTATATTATGGCAGTATTCCCCTCATTACAACATATCCATATATTCCAATACCGTGGACATTTTGCACAATTTTTTATAAGGTCGCAGTGATAATTTAAATAGGATATATTTCATTACCTTGTGGTATTTAGGTACCATGGTGTTTACTATGTCCTTTATAATTGCTCGTTGTTTTTTCTCGGTTTTTTTTTTCTTTCAGAACGTAATATTACATTGATTTGACCTTGATTTACATGGCGGGTGACGTCAATGAAACAGAAGACGCTCACCCTTCCGGAAAACCTGGCCTGATTCTCCTTCTAAAACAGAATATTGTTGTTTTAATGTTCATAGTTTGCTTTAATCTCATCAATAATGAGTCGGTATACGCATCAGATTTTCTTATTTTCTTTAACCATATTCCAATTAAATTCAATTGTATTGAATATAACATCCTAATAGTATTATAAAAATCGAAAGTCGAATAATTAAAATATTTAACAAAAATTAGTATATGCATGAATGCATATGTTTAAGTAGTTTATAATAAACTTAAGCATGTTGTAAACCTATCAGTCACGGTTCAAAAGCCTTTCAATGAAAAGGATCTTCAAAAAGTTATGGTTTCATGACAGTTATTTTTTTTTAATTATTGTAATCTTTTATAGTAGACACACCTCCATATAGCCAATTGTGTTGATAATGGAGGGCATCTTACGTGCCACATGTTGCATTTAGATAACTGCGATTCATATTTTTGCGTTTTGTCTCCGTGTTATTAAAACCTAATACGCTTATTTCCAACTGAATTCTGCTTTTTTAAACATATCATTTATATAATATATTTTGATTGTTCAACAGGACAATTTTAAAATTAACACAGGCGTATTCAACGTATATTTATATTTGAACACAATTAAGATAGATCGTAGGTACCTTCTACTTCATACCTTGAATGTATACTGTTATACTTGTGTACGGGTATGTTGTGTTCAATAATCAAAAGCTGTATTCAAGCTAATGCCAATGTTAAAAATGTAAATTTTAATACCTGGGTTAAAGTGTTTTTCAAACACTTCATTCACAGAACTTATCATGATGTTGGCGTAATGCATCACTTAGAGAAGATAAACTTTAACAGCAATTAACGGGTGTGTTATTACGTCATAACAACATTTACATAAAAACTTATATAACTGAGTCCACTTAAGCATTTAGGGATACATTAACATGTTTAAAAAAAAAGCTTATTTTGCGAAAGTCGGAAGCGTTTGGTTTGTTTGGTATTTTTTTTTCATAAATGAAATACAGTAAATTCTCACCGAAAGTATTTTATATTTAAACTGCCCGTAATAATACTAGGCGTCACATACCAATCACTAGCCGTGAACATTGACCCGTCATGTGCGTCTTGTTAAAAGCCTTTTCACTCTATCACCCCGATATTTCCCAAACAAACTGACACCTCTGTTATTCGATACCAAGGAGCATAGCTAGTAAAGGGTACTTACCTCCATCGTCTTACAGATGTAATCGGTTCATACTGTAGCCTGGGGTTACTGCGAGGTAACAGCAGGTTGATATGGAAATCCGGTTCAGATTTCCATCACTTGTTAATGACGTTAGTGTGTCGTGCTGATAAACAATTCCATGGTATAACACTATAGCGACATGATTAAAATAAACATACTGAGGTTCAACGATGGTACTAGACCCGTCTTACACTAGGCTCCGTTAACGGGATAGAAATGATCACCACTTTCATATTTCATAAATATTGTAATAAACAAAAATAACCAGTTTAAGTTTGGTCCAAAACGGATATCCCAAAAAAAAACCACTCTTTTTCACCCAAAGATAGTCAGTTAATGTTGAGATTCAAAAGGGATATTCCAAAAAAGTGAGAAGGCTGTTTTTCTTACCAATTTTATAAAGAATATGTGAAATTTTCTTATGAAGATAAGGAATAAGTAATATTTGAAGGGTAATTTATTTCATAATGTGTTTAACCTTACCCGAACTTGAGAAGTTAAAGCGAATCTATCGATGGATAACATTGCACTTGGGTGAACGTTATTGTAGGCATAACAACGTAACATGGCACCATGTTTAAGGTATAATAATAGCAGCACACGAGTTCTAGGATTTGGCAGTAAATATCTAGTTTCTAATAAGACAGAGGCATGTTCGTAAGACAATATTTTTGTGGTTGATTTATCAAGTTTTTTTTACCAATTGAACTTCTTTCAGAAATACAGACATTTTCTTTTCATCTGAAAATGAATATTCTATCGTGATTAGCAATAAAGTCAACAATCGTGTGAAGGAAAAAATTCCGTTGATGAATTACTATACTAGCGACGTTTTACGTTGAAATATCTTTTTGATGTGTAATTAAGGTAACGCTTGCCCGTCTGGAACACCTTGTTTCTCCTCATTGATTTGTTTTCCTCCTCGTTGCTTATGTGCTATAATAACACCTACCCCTACGGCACACCGTGTTTCTGCTCGTTGATAAGTTGATGTAGATAGCCTCTACCATTTTCTCCTCATTGATAGTATAGTGTAGTATAGCTGTAGTAAGCCCATCCTTCTGAAACATCATGTGTCTCTTCGTTGATAGGTGACACTTCCGAACAAAACTGAATTGGTATTTCTTCTAGGATCTTTTGTGCCCCCTCGGTCCTATTAATGCATCCTTGCATCAGTTATGTGTTATTAACATGACGGGTACCGTTTTCCTACTTCACTTGAAGTTGATATGGTATGAAAATGAAGCCATTTTAAATGTTTTGTAATGTTTCAAACAAATCTGTCTTTTTCACTGATTTTACAAAAAATACTAACAAATGCGTTATTTTATTGAATATATATATTTCAGGAAATTCACATGATTGCATTCGCAAATAAGCAGACCAACATACGTTGTAACTTTGATGAAGGAAATACATAGAATTGAAGAAGAAGAGGAAGAAGAAAGGCAACATCGAAACCTTTTATTTAAGCTCTTTCACTCGTAAAGATGCATTCCTTTGCTTGGTACTTGGTTACTCCACTTTTTGTAATTAAGTTATAACAAGCAACCTATTTGGGGTGTCTTTCTACTTATGCCGTATATAGCAACACATATTGCAGTTTTAGCCGTAAAGCAGAGAAAGTTTTACTTCAATAAATGTCTTACCTTATGTAGAGAATTACAAAATGACATGTTATGTTATAAAATATAAAAATGTCATGGAAATATAAATTCACAATAGCGAGATATTGATGAGTTTTTCCAAAACTAACAAAATGTTATTGACGCCAACAATACGGAACTTTTTCTTGTTTATATTAGACGGGTATATCGGTAGATAACACGCGATGGGTTCCGGTAAACAATGGTTTCTAACTGCATTATGTTACACAACACGTGTGAGATACATCTTCTAGCCCTACTGGAAAACGTACAATTATACGGGCTCACAATTGCTTACTGAAGTTAAACGTACATTCATATAGTTTTTACTTTATAATAAAGGTAAATAAATCATCAATTGGAAAAAGAAAAAAAGTATACCTAAATAAAGCTGAATTTACTGCACTTAATATTGAATACTATTTTCACTTCAGAATATGTCCTTGTACACGTGAAGCCTATGACAATCCTCCTTTCATTCTAAACAATGTGTACGAACTTCCTGTTGAAAATGAAAATATAGAATCATAGGGATATAACTCATTATTTGAAGTAAAAAGATGTATGTTGATAAAACGACTACCAATTGTAACATATATAGTACTTAAACAATGCTTTATCTGTCAGTCAGTCCTCCACACAGGACTTCACACAGGACTGATGATTAGTATAGATATAAACACTCACCATGTGGCTATTGATAAGCCGACTTAGGAGGTCCGACTGTTAAAAGCACAGTCCGCTTAGCAAACACTTTTCATCCCAGATATTTTTCACAATTATTCTAAT